ATGCGAATCTGAGTGCTGCCGAGACGAGGAAAATGCCATGCCTCTTGGTACAATGTAAACCCAATGCAGATCACTTCAAAAATTAAGCGTATATGTAACAGGTATGAGGCAACAATCGCTTCAGTGTGACTTTGTCTGTTTGGGCTGCAGCTTAAAGTTTCTATGGAGTCTGCAGAGAAAGCTGCTTGTTTTGTGAGCACAGACAGAGCATGTTCACACAAGAGGCGCCCGCTGTGCTCCCAGGGAGACTTCACTTTTGTTCTTACTTATTTCCTCCAGCCTGCGCTAAGGCAGCCGGGCTGCAGGTTTACCGGTCGAGCCTTAGGAACAGGGGGGCAGAAAAAAACCCCAAATGAATGGAAATTTACCAGCAGAGTGAGCAGGCAAATTACAGCTTTTCAACCCAATTTCTATTTCAGTCTTCTCAGTCTATCTAAGTAGAGCTCTGGAAATGTGAAATTAACATTAATAATAATAATAATAATAATAATAATAATAATAATAATAATAATAATAATTCTACTTGAAAAGCTCCCACACCAAAATGCTCAGAAAGCTGTTCTGTAGGATAAGAAAAACATGATGTTATAACTCAGGTTGAAAATTTAGAGGATGGATAGTTGTGTTTTCATTTGGCCCAATGAAATACCGCCCTTAATGAATTTTTGGCATACTGTGGTGAGGTCCGGGATGAGAATGAAGGTGATGTGATAACAGGCATGTTGTCCCGGCCCCATGCTGAGGGCATCTGCTTCCATGGCATTAATGCTGTGATTTGGTAAATCACTAGATTCACGGCTCCTGCTGTTAGTAATAGAAGCAAAGCTGCTAATACCAGAGACAGGGCTGTCGGAGGAATAGAGGAGGGTCATAATATTTTGCTCGCTCTGCTCGCACCCACTGGCTCAATGCCCCTTCTTGCACACACACACACGCACAGACACTTGCAGTCAAAGACCACAAACGGCAAGAGGGCAGTTGGCAGCCGATGGCCATCGGTTGTTTGCTTGGCGGTGGCTCTCCGTCATTTATAATGTATGGCAGACCTGATGATCCAAAATATAATCTGGGTTTGTTTCAAGAACTCCTAATATTTACACTGCCGCCACAGTTTCTGCAGACCCCAGGTGCCTGTCTTGAATTGCCTTTTCTCGTCCACCTTGTCAAAGCACTAGTGCTTGTGCTCACACCCACCACTGAGTGCTCCCCTCCCTGCTTCCCACGCTACCTGTGATCCAGCCGCAGCAGAATCACCATTTTAACTTTAAATATGGATTTAGATGGGGCTTTGGAGCGCTTCAAGTGCTCTGAGGGATTGCAAGTGCAGACTGAGGGATATTTACTGGATCAGGACTAAAACATTGAAAAAAGCCCTCAAATTTTGACGATCAGGAACAATTCAGTCACATAAGTAATAGAAAATTAAAAAAGAGAGAGAGAGAGAAATTAGTGTTGAAAGACTGTTTAAAAACATAATTTTTTAGTGGGTGCTCTCTTCTTTAACTCAAAGTAAACTCTTTAGATTCTCAAGGATGAAAGTGTGCTTATTTTTTCCCAATCTGATATTGTCAGTAACAGTACTCTAATTGCTCCTTCAACTTCAATGGTACCCTCTACATTGACTTTTCAACCACTCAGCCATACTTCCTAGCAGAGCAGCAGGACTTACATTTGTTACTGGAAGCTCTCCATACCTCCAGTTTCACATGAGTCACAAGCCTGCCGCCCCGCTTTTCTACATTCCGCCTATTTAATGAATGACATGCAAAGTTGGAGATTTTATACATATATCTACACATATATGTACTGAGTAAATTTAATTTTATTCTGTCACTCTTCTTAATCCAGTTGATGACACATGCAGACACGTCAGTTGGTTTATAATAATCTTTACTATTTTTCATGTTCTGCCTCTCCCACGTTTGCTCCCAGATGCGTCAAAAATGCTTTTCGATGACAACGCTGCACTTACTTTAAAAACGTGCAGGTGAGCTCAGGAACTATTTTTTTCTCCCATTCAAATCTTTATGCTGAGTTGGCACCAGTGACTGAACCTCTTCACTGCTCTGCGTGGAAGCCGTGGCCAGCCGCCTGCTAGAGGTGCTGCCCTTGGGATGCTCGGCACCTCCAGAGGTGCAAACCTGCTGTCCATAACTTACACCTTGATTGCATGCCTGAGCAGAAAACAGGCTGCTGAGAATCGCTTGAGCAGAAACTTATGAAAGAAAAAACTCTTGAGTATTAGAAATATGAATTTTCAATTTATCATGATCCTGCTTGGCTTGTGACTGAGGCCAGGGCTGACTTTCCATGTGGATAAAGCAGGGAATCTTCTGCTCCAGGCATGTTTTTATCAGATCCGCCCTGTGCAGGATTTGCCAAGTCTTCAAAACCTTCCTGAGCACACAGGGGTAATTAAATGAATTGCACTGCCAATATATAATGCTTATTTGGACTGAACGTGTTTCCAAGCATTCGGGTTTTATCCCTGTGTTTACCGTGAGGTTACACCACTTGTTGTGCTGTTTTCTTTGTGCTTCTGTGTTTGAACAGCAACCACAAGAAGTTTGATTCCAGTCTCAGGTTACCTCGGTTCCGCTCAGCTTAAACCGCCAAGTCCCAGGTTTTCAGGCTTCCGGAGGGAGGGCCAGGAGGCAGGACAGAGACATTTCAGGTGCCTAAAGCGAAGGAAGAGAGAAGGAGCTAGGGCTGGTTAGTCAAGGGATACTTAGGTGGAGAGGCTTCAGATGGATAAAAGTGGGGTGAAAGGAAGGACTATTCTCCATGTCTACTGTGGGTAGGACAGCAGGTGAAACTGCAAGGTCAAAGAGGTCAGAACTGCAGTTACGGAGATTCAGCTTAGGCACCACAGAAAAATTAAAACAAGGAGGCTTGTAAAGCCCTAGAAAGGAGGTGGTGGTTGTGCAACTCTAGCACTGGAAATTAAATGAAATAAAACAACTTAGACAAGCGTTTGCCTAGCGCATTACAGGTGCAGCTGCTTCTGAGGAGCAGGTGGCTTTTGCAGCTTCTGCACATCCTTCCATCCTAGTTTTGGTGAGTCAATGCTTCAAATATCTAAAGTTCTTCAGGCAAGTCCAGGTGAAATATTTTCAGGGGAGCTACCGGCAGTCTAAAAGCACATTGGCATATCCTTTTCTCCAGCTAAACTTGTAGCTCTTCTGTGCTGCACTGTGCAAGTTTCACAACTTTGCATTATAATGACAGCACTCTCGGCAGAGAAGCACTGCTCTGCTCTCATGTGAAAGAAAAAGTGAAGAGGATCTCTCATAAGAGCATTTCATGTGCTTCAGGTTCTTCATAAGGGAAATTATATCTAATTTTAGTATAAATAGATGTTAATTTGACATGTGGATCTGAATAACTGAGTTAAATTCTTGACTTTTTTGACATTAAAATATATTAAATGACAAGTACCTTTTGACTATTGTTGTTTTCTGAAAGGTTCTTTCCCTCTACAGTATCTAATGATAAAACTCTAACGCAGGGCTGCTCCTGCATTTGCAGGAAGTGGGATCGAATGGCCTATGAGGTCATTTCCATCTCTAGGTTACATGGTAATAGTAGAATAACAATAACAAAGGTTGCAGAACATTCCTACCTTGGCTGAGTCAGCTGGCTTTTTAATGAGCTAGCTATTCATTGAACAAAAAATATTCATGAATTTTTCAGGAAAGACATAGCATATAATTTGTTTTGAGCATAATTAAAGAGGACAGCCAGCCTTATCCTCCAGCAGCTCCAAAAGGACTGAACTTGCATGATGGACTTGAGTGACAGCCTCAATATATCTGACAGTTGCAGAAGTTATCAGGTTCTTCAGCAGCAATTGTAAAGGCTTCTTACAGCGTGCCCTTGAGCCTTTTCAGGGGAAAATCCCATATCGAAGAGGAATGAGCTACTAATGCTACCACACCAGAGAAAAATTCAATGGTTGATTTGAGTGAGACCAGTATTTCTCACATCTGCTTTTGTCCCCCACTGTCCTGGGTCAAATGTAGATGCAACTCTACTCAATGTAGAGGGTCAAATATAAATTCAACTCTACATCAGCCCTTACAGCTCTGCCTCTGAGAATCTGAAACATGTGAGTTTAGCTCCTCCTTGGAAAAAACAGAGCATCAGAAAGGAAAGGCAAGAAAACAGCCTGTTTCTCTGTGCCTCAGCTGCTTTTCTCAGCAGAAGGCATTGGATCTATGCTCCGATCGCGTAAAATATTGCTAGATATTGGCCACATGTTGCGTTGCAGAGTGATTTTTCTATGATTTTTCTGTAAGAAGTTCCGTAAGAGATTTTCTGTACGCTACAGCACCAAGTGCTCTGGCAGTAGAAGCTCAGCAGGTAAATAATAGCACAAACAAAATCCAAAATAATCCTTGAATGTGTCCTCTCCTCCTGCTTTTACACTTACACGCACAGACACTCTCACTGCTAAATTTATTTCCCCCTTGCTTAAGGGGGGAATCACTCACTGCCACCTTTCCCTTTGGCTTGCGTCTTGTCCTCACGCTGTTGCTTTTTTCAGTCCTTCCCACTTCTCTGCACGTCCTCTGCCCATGTCGGAGAGGCTTTCATCTAGATGGCTGCAGCGTGAGGTAAACCGGGGCTAGTAAACGCTCCCATCATGGTCCCGAGAGCAGTGATATCCAGGGGAGGCTGGAGCTCTGGCCTGATGAAACAGTAAGGGTTTCCCCATCTAGGAGTCTTAGCGGTGACTCTTAAATATGGGGGATCAGAAGATTCTCATCGATTAGTGCCATGTCCTGAAAACACGAGCACAATCACCTTAATGCAAATAGCACAAACCAAAACCCTGCTGTGATTTACTCCGTAGGGTTTTTATTGAGTTTTTTGGAATGAGAGCTGCTATTTCGGAGACCTGGTTGAAGCACAGCACAAGTTAAATGAAGTAGCCACGTCAGTATATGTGAGTTTCTGAGCCTAGCAGAGTAATTTGTACTTTCCTTCTTTCTCTCCAGCTATGCTTTTCCTCTGCAGCAAGCAGGGCTGTGCGTCTCAGCAACAACAGCCACAGCCAGAAGCAGTCGTTCTCTCTCGGGACCAAAGGCCCCCTCCCAGATAAATATTTCATCCTCCTGGAGAGTTTGCTCATCTTCTCGGAGGGCTTCCTCCTCCTTCCATAAAGCTCTCTCCTCTTCCAGGAGAGCTTTTTCGTCTGCCCACAGGGCTATCTCTTCTGCCCATAGGGTGATGTCCTCATCCAGAAGGACCCTGTTTTTCTCCCAGAGGAGCTGATCCTCTTTCCAGAAATCCTCATCCTTCTTCCAGAAAGCATTGTATTCCTTCCAGAAGTCACGATAATCCCTCCAGAAGGCTTTCTCTTCCTCCTGAAAAACCTTTTCGTCCTCACGAAAGGCAGTTTCCTCCTCCCAGATGGCTTTTTCCTCCTCCCAGAAGGCTTGGATGGCGATCCTGAAAGCTCTGATTTTTTCCCGAAAGGCCTTGATTTTCTCCCGAAAGCTCCTCATTGTCTCCCGAAAACTTTGAATCTCCTCCCGGAAAGCTTTCTCAGCCCACAGCTTCTTGATGAGCTTCTGCTGACGGGAGTTGAAATAAGGAAAGCAGGACATCAAGTGGCAATGGCAGCTCTTGCTCATGGACTTGCCCACGCGCTCGTCGCTGGCAGAGGGGGCCGAGGCCAAGCCCAACCCAGCGTGTCTCACCCTGTGGCCCAACAGAGAGAAGAGAGACGGGTGTCAGTGACGATGCCATTAAAACCTATGTCATAACCGGCTTAAAATGGCATTCTACCACAAATGAAGACATTTACCTAGAGCAAAAAAGAAATCCTTGCCCAGGATTCAGAAAGCACAAATTGCTGCGGTATCTGAATGTGAATCTGTGCTCCACAATATAAGGCCAGGATTTCTCTAAGTCGTTTTCCAAAGTGATTCCAGGTGCCTGTGGTTGTGAGTGGGGTGCGGAGTTGTGTGAGGATCAGTCTATGTCCCTGCCCTGCTGTGTCTCTTGTCCCTTCACAGCATCTCAGGTAAAATTACTCTTTGCAGAATCATGAGAAACTTAAGCAATGAGAAAAAAACAATAATCTAATTTTCTATTTACTAATTTGCCCAATAATTCTACAGCTAGGATTAAAGCTGATTACTTACTTGTTTTGCTCCATTATATTTATTTTGACTTATTATAGAGTCCCTCCAGCTCCATAGCAGGGAGCAGGTTGCTTTGTAAATAAAACGTCTTGCTTATTAAGATATTATAAGCCTGTCTATCCCTTGCTGTATAGTCAGCAAAGGCCTCAGGGGAAGCAAAGGCAAGGTAGAAAACTGCAATATGTGCCTGCTCTCAGTTGATGACTGAGGAAGCAGGGAGGGTGCCATGCCTCTGTGGCAGTTCAATGCATGGTGACAGATTGGATGGACAGCCCAAGCTGCCCTGGTTGCAAATAGCATTGGGTACTGGAGATCTGGCCACACAAGTCCTCCCAGACAGCCCTGTTTCCACCTGGGACAGCTGGTGGGTGACACTGCTGTCACGCCTGTGCTTGTGTCGTAGACCTCTTCCCTCCTCATCCCAGGCCTCTCCTCTCCTCTCAAAGCTGAGCTGGGCCGCTGGCAGCGACATACCCCCATCTTCTTCCTGGCGTTTTAGGTATGGCCAAGGCATCTTTTAGTGACATCTGGTCAGCTCCTCACTCTCGCCTCCTCTGCAGTTACCACACAGGCCTGAGAGCGGATGGCTCCATCAGAGGAACCGGGATGAGCTATCCCAGGGGCAAGCAGAGGGGAGACCTACAGGGGCTCTCAGTGAACACAGGAGAATTTGGGTTCTGCTGGTTTCTCCTAATGCTGCTTCCAGGCTCCTAAACCCACCTGTCACAGCAGGAGGTGCACTGAGAGGTCAGGGGGAAGGAGGAAAGCAGAGATGTTCAGCTTCACTCTCAAGTTGCTCCTGGGCCCACTAATTTGCCTCCAGTCTGTGTGAGGATCCCTGCAAGACCTGATGTGCCCACTGAGCTGGGCTGCCTGAACTGGAGTGCTAGTGCACTCCATACCACATATGTACCTCCATACCACTCCATACCATACCACATGCCTAGAACAGAGGAAAAATTGGGTGAATAAATGTGCCAAAAACTAATTGCCCGGAGCGTGTTATTACTTGAGTCACAGAGCAGCTACTGAAACAACAGCCATTTCTTCTCAACCAAAGTGGGGTTTGACAACGACTCTGCTGTCCCTACACTTTTGGTGAGTCTCCTCGGTAGGCAATTCCCCTTTATTCACAGCAGAAATATCAGTAAATAGGACCTGCTGCATTTCTGCTCCATGGGATTGCTGTCGGCAGCAGTCAGGATAACGGCAGTTCAGTTACAGCCATCACTGGCAGCACCAGCAACAGGCTCACAGCCCATTATCAACTGCAAATAGTCTCTTCTTTAAAGCAAAGATAGTATTTCTTTTACTTAGCTCATTTTGTTGTGGTCACTGGCACAGAACATGATACCACTAATATTTTGGGCCAGGTCGTCTGTAGTCTAGATAGGTTATGTACATACCCCATGTCCTGATGCATTTCATGGACTCCGGCACAACCCTGCTGAAGCGCCGTACTTCCAGCGCTTCAGCAGGTAGGAAGTCATACAGACTTTCACTCACTGTAGTTTTACTCTAGCAGCACAATGAGGATGAGGCAGATTTAGGGTGACAATTTGTGCATTGAAGATTATATGTTAGGATATCTTCCCCAACCAGACAGAGGGCCACATTTAGTGGAGGACATAACTGCTTAGAGTTGGTGCTACCATGTAAGTCCAAAAGCCAGAGCTAAGTGCCATGGCAGAGTGGAGGAGGAGAATTAGGTGCCTCTGAAGGATAATCCCAGAGAGACCTGTGTGCAGAAACAGGACCTCCTTGAGCTGACCACAGGGAAACCACAGGGGATCGTGTCCTGTCCTGCCCCTTGGACAGACAGTGCTGTGGACAGACAGCCTTGCATAGCAATTTTGGATAGGTTTCTGTGCAAAAACAGAGCAGACTGACTCTTGAAAACACAGCAGATGGAGGAGGAACAAGCCAGAATCCTTGCCAGGGCAATTCCTCTCCCCTCCCTTTTCTGTGCTGTGGTGACTCAAATCCACAGATCCCCTCTCCTAGGAAAACAGTGCTAATTTCAAGATGATAGACTCTGTTGAGGATTGCAACAGTTTCTCCCCTGTCTATTGAAGCTGTATTATGCTGCAGGAGAAAACCAAAAGCATCAAATTCTATAGCCACCTGGATGGGAGAGGGGAAATGTGGATTTTGGTCCTTGCTTCCTTGACAGTTTATGTATTTTGTACGAAACAGGCTTTAGGTAAAAGTCAGACAAACTCCTTTCAGCCTGTTGTATAGGCCACAGGGAGAACTGGACAAGTGGCCCAGGGATTGCCACTGACAATTCCTGCCTCCTTGCCAGTCCCACGCTCAGCTCGGGGCCACTGGAGCTGTGTTGTTGTCACAGGACACAGGGACCTCCAGGTAGTCCAAGAAAGCATCTACTAAGTTCAGCTGGATGACTCCTTAGGATAGCAATTTTGATGCTAGCATGTAGGAAGCAATCCAGGTGCCTAAGCATAGGCACATGGCACCATTTAAGACACCCAAGAATATATAAGATGTCTGTAGGTGATCTGGCAGAAAATGACAAAAGGAGACCTATATCCTTTGGAGCTGCAGCTGGAAGCCAGGGGAGATGCCCTAAGGCCTTCTAGGGCACAAGGCACCTGTGCTTATCCATGAGTCCCATCTTTAAGTCTGTTCCTGATTTATGTGCCTGAAACCTCTTCTGGATGTGGCCCCAGGAGGTTGCCAGACATGAGATTCCATCTCCAGAATGCGCATCAAATGACACAAATAAAACTTTGAGAGCTTTTTCTCACATGGCATGGTAAAAATATTCCCATTTATTCTTTTACTGTGCTCCTGAGGCAGGCTCATAAAGAGGTACGATAATTATATCAGAGTACATTTTTTGATTAGAACATCATTATTATCTCATAGAAAATGACTAAATTATATCATTTTGTTCCACAAGTTTGCAAACCTTCTTTCAACTGTCATCAAAATAATAGTTGCTGATTTTCTGCAGACACCTCTAAGATGCAGAACTAATGGCTAACATGTCTGATGCTAGCTTAGGTCTATTTTCCTACTACTGTGAAGCCTTATGGATAGATATAACTGAAGTTGATAGAATTACCTCTTTACTTGGTGAGACTTCTATTATTCATCTTGCTCTTAACATTTCTTAACATCAAAAAATAAAGATCCAGTGATATCTAACAAGTGTGGTTATGCTACTGAAAAACTTAACGTTTGTAAAACTCTAAAACAGCAGAGCATACAATACTTACACAAGTACAGTCCTTATGGCAGCTGGGTATCTGATGCCCACCGCTGACACTGACCAGCTGGTCCCCTATAGTGATGTCATTTCACAAAGTTTAAAACCATTGATTCAAAATAAGTGATGCTGGGTGGAGCTGAAAGGCATGACCGGCTTTCTCACTGGGACTTTGCTTCATTGTCATCCTGGCTGTTTATGAAGAACCTCCATCCTTGGGTTATATTACACTTCCCAGCTCCCCTCCTGGAAATCATGAACAGCACTTACACAAATATTAGGCTCATACTCAGATTATGCTCTTAACGGTTGTATGCCTGAATTTGGCACCCAATGTAAATGCTATTGTGTCTTGCACTGTTTGAACAAGAACAAGTAATGGAGCTAAAACTAAGCATAGCTATAGCAAAGACCAGATGCTTTTCAAAAGTCAGTACGGGATTCTAAATCCATCTGTAAGCACTTGCTATAAATGAGTATCCCGAGTTTTCAAATGGGTTGCTCCGACAAAAGTCGTTGGGAAGAAGCGGTGGATGAGTGGATTTGAAACTCAGGCCTGTGTTTATAGGAGGTACTTCAATCTGGATTTAGATTTCTGTTTTTGAAAGCTTGGCCAGTTGAACTTCTCTGTGAACACAGGTAACGGTATCATTATATATGCTATAAATATGTTTTGTGCAGCTCAATGACTGATGATGCAGGATGTGAAACAGGTGCTTTACTGACAGGTGATATTGTCCCTATTTTTCTATCAAAATCATATTAAAATTTAGAGGAGGTTGTTTGGTTTCTGTTGTTTGTAGAAGGCCATAAAAAGGCTTCTACCCAAATACTTTTTTTTCTCGTGGGATGGCTTTGACATTCTTTGTCTGAAAACCAGAAAATAATTTCTTTATATGGGAATTGTTCAAATACAATGCTGTTCACTAAGTCTTACTATCCTGATAAACCTCTTCTTTCCTTCTTCCCAGACCAGCTATTTCCTTCTTTGCAAATGGGATGCCTTGATTCTGGGAACGTTTTTCCTTTTTCCTAGTTTGCTCCATCCCTTCCTCCAGGGGCTATTTCTTCTTTCTGGAATGTTTCCTTGCACTGTATCTTCCCGCTATAGCTCCCCATTTGATACTATAGCTGGAAAATAATAACGACAGAATATTTAGTCAACTACTTTCTGAACTTGAAGGAAGACATTGTTTTTCTAGACGAGAGGTTTTGGCGATGCAAGTCCAGTTTACAGCACAATAGACGGTGCGTTCGGAGGTAACACAGTGAAACTTTTGGGTATAAATACTTGACATGCCAGCCCGTTCCAGCTCTTACCATTAGTCCACGGGGCTGCAGCAGCAGGATGGGCTGTGTTTCTTCCTCTCCTGATTTTTTTTATAATTAATCTCTTTCCTCCTCGCCAAATAAATCTCAGTGCCAAAGAGAACAAAGAGGGTTTTCTGGATTTCAATTCTTCATCCTTCTCCATTGCAACACAAATTATCTGGAAAAACGTGGAGATGAATTTCACCCAAAGTCTTTCACCTTCAGCCCTCCTCTCACTGTTACCAATAATAAGCTTCCTGGGAAGAACTGACTTGCTGAAACATTAGTCTCTGGCACATCAATAAAAAAACCACATGATTTTCCTCTCAAGGCACAAAGAGCGAAAGGCCATTGTAGCCCTCCTGAGGGAGGAAGAGCCAAGGGAAAGCATAAGCTATTCACGGGATGTCAAAAGTTGGCTAGGATCTACAGATGGAAGAGGACTTTCCTGGATGATTTCTGTCTCTGAATCACCTGCTCCTTGGTCTTATGCAGCTGGATCTGGAGGGAGGATGCTGCTGCCATAGCAACAAGGGTCCAATGGACATGGAGGTTCCAGAGACAACCTGTGCTGCGCTCCCTTGCCAACCGCCCCAAGCAATCCCAGCACCTACCTGCTGTCCGTGGTTGTACTGCAGAAGCACCAAGAGGTCCCAATTAAGATCCCAGACTTACTGAATGGCACGTGATGCAGAGTAAGAGCCGTGAGTTACGTACGCGCTTAGCAAACAAGAGCCCTCAGGGGAAGAGCTATTATGCATTGCTTGTGATAGTTATCCAAACTGGTGGTATGAGATGGAGGGCGTGATTCAATTCTCAACTGCGGACACCAATGTGTAGGTGTCCGAATGCTGGTGGCTATGTGTCAGTGGTGTTTGGAGAGTGATTCGGGTGACCAAATACTCTGTTTTGGGGTGAGATGAATCTTCCTACAGACTCCGCCAACTATATTGGGTAGATTTTTGTTGGCCTTAGTGAGAGCTGGGGCTCACAGCTGGGGCATCTTGACAACATTTAGGTACTTGCAATTAGGAGCTAAATCCTACTCAAAGAGTCCAATGGAGGTGGGAATTGAGTTCAAGCCCCTCCTGAGTCCCAGTTCTCACCCATTAGGTGATAACAGTCAACTTTGTGTGAGTATGTGTGTGCCTGTGTGTGTGTGCGTGTGCACAGTCATTTGCCTCTGTACCAGTGATGGCTCTTTGCAGTGAAGGCAAGCTTTGCTCTTTGGTGACACTAGCATTTTTGCTATCTACTGATGGGCAGAGCAGGCGGTGGGTGACTCCTCTGGCTTCAGGCTCCATTTCCAGCTCTCCTGTGTGACCTCCATCACGTTCCCTGAACTCACTGGGTTCTGACTTCCTGTGTGTGAAATAGGAATATTCCTGTTTCGCAGGAAAAAAGAGTTAGGTCTCTCTAGAGCTCAGAGGGAAAGCAAAGTGTAATGTTGCTCCCAGCTCTTTCTCTGCTCAGTTTTGTTGCTTGGGAGCCTGTGAAGGCTGAAGATTGCTGCTGCAGATAAGCCCTAAATGCATGAATACAGCTACAACAGCTTATTCCTTCTGTCTTCCGGAAAAGAGATCTGCCTACTGTGATAAAATAGCACTTGTTTCCTCAGTATATGCAGTCACAGAAATCTGAGCGTTGAAAATTTCTGCCTGTCTCCTCTTGTCACTAACCCTGGCCCCTGTCCCCCCACCCCCCGGCCACTGTTCCCAGGGCGGACTGTCTACTGTGCTCTCCTCTGAACAAGCCTCTTTTGCTCTTTGTCCATGTTAAAATAGCAGTAATCACTTCTTGACTAATGTTTAAGTTGCCTGGCCAGATTTTCTCTCCTGTCAGGTGGCTTCAAATTCTGCCAATACTGAGCTAAATCATTCAAAGGAGCATGGAAATGGTGTGGTGCACAAGAGAGCTCATTTGTTATTGCTGGAAGTGCTCGGGTATCTTTGGACACGGAAAGCAGATATTTTTAGAGAGAACATGAGAAAATAGGAGTTACAGAATCACAAAATACCTTAATGTACTTTAAGCAAAGCCCTGTATAACCCGTAGCAAGTCAGGTCTATATTTGTAAAAGAAACCTTGGGCACCTTTCAGTGGTGAATCAACTCCCAGTTGTGGTTACAAGCCCCTGTTGTGAAATTCAGCTTTGGCCAAAAAAACTCCACCAGAATTCTTAAATTCAGTTCCCTTCTTTCATGGATGGTCCATCGCATACATCATCTTACAGCTAGAGCTATATTATACAACAAAGAGGCCTTTCTGGGGCAGCTTTCTGACTACTGCATACAAATCCACACACGTGGTATGGTCATAAACCTTCAGGAACACTGAGAAAACATCTTTTAACAAACCTATTCCAAACCCATCAGTGCAAGCAAAACAAATAAGCCAGCAAACCAGAAAAACCTCCGTCATAACAAGCTCTCATCTGGTTAATCAAACTCAGGCAACTGTACTTAATTTGAAGTTTCAGGCTAGCTTGTATCAGACCAGATGAAGAGCTTGCATTCCTGATGGTCTTGCACTATATTTAGATCAATCTGTTATAATATTTTGGCAAATATCAATATTGTTATTTTCCTAGTGCTGAAAAAGTTAAAAGTCAGTAGTGTTGACTGGAAGGACTCACCATGCTTTTTTTTATTATTATTCATTATAGTAACCCACAGGGGTCCCACCAGCTTTGGGACTCGGACTGCACATTGCATATGCAAAGTAGAAAACAGCGACTGCTCCGCGGAATTTAAACAGAATAAACATTTAATGAAGGGGAAAAGGTGCATAGGCACCCCTATCTGACAGCCCACAAACAGAGATCAGATACGAAATGCCTTCACAGCTACTAAATCACGAGTATGCCCTCATGCGAGATTGAACAGCAAAGTCTTACGTGCATTAAGAAAAAGCTCAGTACATATTACAATTCTTGTGGTCCTGAAATTCTTGCATATTAGATCTGCTGCACTGACAAGGGAAAACTTGGAGCCCACTGAGCTCTCGGTTGAAGTAATGTGGAAAGTTAAAGCTCAGTATAGATACAATTCATGCTGACCTTATGTTCTTGAATAGTAGATCTGCCACATTGACTAAAGGAAGCTTGGATCCTGATCAGCTGTCTACTGAAGCAAAGGGAAAAGGCTCTTTGCATTCTTTCCCAGCACCGTGAAGCCCTTCATTTGTTCCAAAGAGTCTGGAAAAGCGCCAGCTGTTTTTAAAAATATTGTCATCACGCTGGCTTCTCCCAGAAAGTGTTAAATACATGTGGAAGAAGAGACACTAAGTGGAGAGAATCTGTCTTTTCTATTCAACAGAGGACTGCTGTGCTACGAGTTGGGCTGTCTCTTGTAGCTGGCAGTAAATGGCAGCTTAAATGGCTTAATAAACAGTGCCACACGTGAAAGAACAGCACCTGCAATTGCTCGCTTTTGGAGAAAAAATTTGAAATTAATGGCCAAAAGCTCAGGTGAAAAACGTACAAAAAAAGTATGGAAAAATTTCTTGGAAATAAAAAACTGAACGTTAGGCTGTAAGTAACCTGATGCAGTGAATCAGTGAACTGTGGGAAGTGATCACTAAATTGACCTCAGCCAAAGGCAGCAAACCGTGACCCACGATTAGCAATAGTCCTGAGAACATCTTCCAGAGAGGTCTCCCCACTCTACCACCTCACAGGTGAGCACATAAAGCAACAAATGCAACGGTAAGATTAAGAAAACATCATTTTTCTATGTTTTAGGTTGAGATCAGACAGGCAGGGTTTGAGCTGGGCAGACTCCAAAAAGGATAAAGACCCTTCTCTTTCAATTACTGCTTAGATCTCTCTAACATAGAGCAAAGTACAGCCAACAAAAGTGTCCCCCTCTGTCTTCAGTACGCCTTTGCTACCCTCCTGGATATATTCAACACATTTTGTGACATGCTTTCTTAGCTGATTTGACTACCTGCGAAGGAGACTGCAGTCCTAAATTATTCTGAGCTATTTCTTACTGTTTGCTAAGTCCAGCTGAGCACTTCCATATAGAAATCTAAGGATCCTGTGCCCCCAGACTGTAATCCAAAGAAACACCATGGAGTGTACAGTTTAACGTACACCAGCTCTTCAGGCCTTATATGTAAACTGCTTTCAAAGGCAGAGGTTAAATGTGGAAAGCAGTGAATAATCCAGTACTTCTATTCTGCCCAGGGCAAAAGAGCACTAAAATCATCTTTATGTGCTGGGTTTCTGTTGGGGACCCTACTCAAGGCCTAAATCAAGTGTGGTAACCCTAAAAACTAGCTTTAACTGTGCTACTTGCAATCGCGAGCCTGTATGTCAAATATCTCCATCTTTGCCTCTCTTCCCTTTTCCCACTGTGAATAGGAAGGGATCAACATATACAGGCACCTACCTTTCAGTCTACTGCTTACGTCAGGGCTCCTCTGCAGAGTTACATGTATTTGCACAGTCCCAGCTGGCTTAGTCTTCTCATTATTTCCTAATTCTCTTGGAAGGCACCTGAACATGCCTGGGCCATGGCAGGCTGGCTCTGGCCATGCCACCAAGTGCAGCTTTGCAGCTCAGCAGCTGAAGCATGTGGTGGTGCACTGTGGAGAGGTTGACACTTGCAAAGCGCCCTGGTCAAATCCACACGCTTCTCTTGTAAATTGGTGCTTGCTGTGTCAGAGCGCGGGCATAGACCATTGCAGGCTTCCATTGCAGCCCTTTTGCCCTTTTGATGCAGATGGCAGATTTCCCAGCTCTGGGTCCACAGCTGGACATTTTGCGTGTTGGCTATAAACCTGGAAAGCCCTAGGAATGTAAGTTTTGCCCAGATCACCCTCACACTCTTTACGGGCAAGTATGGTAGAAACCTGGAAGCTGGAAGCCACGCTGCAGGGGCAAGTGATCCCACGCTGGTGCCTACAGAAGGGCCTGAACCAGCCTCAGCGGTGCCCTCAGTCCGGGCCCATCCATGGGACCTGGCTGTGGCCACAGATCCTCAGCCCCGGAACCTCAGCATTAAGCTGTTGCGCCTCACGTGCAAGCCTGTGTGGGTCTTACTGCTAATTTCTGAAAATGCTGCCCATGACAAGATCACATGAAAATACAGGAAACCCATATCTTGTCTGCCCATATGTACATACATCCCATATGTACAATCCCATATGTCTGCTCATATGTACAACAAACCCGCATGTACATACATCTGTGTGAACAGGGTTGCCATTCTGATGTGTTTGATGAACAGAAGGGGACATGGTGCTTCCCCAGAGGGCTGTGCTGGATGCACTCCTAACCCACCCAAATGCAAGGGAAGGTGACTTAGTTTAAACCTGTTCCCTAAGCTTTGAGTGGTATTTCATTTGGGGCAGGCTAAGGTTGTACACCAGCAGCTGCAGCTTGCTGGGCAAGTTCTGGGAACTTGCTTGTGTATCTGAACACCTCTGCACCTTCTGCTTGGACACCTTGTCCTCTCTTGTGCCGTCCAGAGTCAACCTTTGAGCACAGTGCCATCTGGTGAGACTTGAGATACTTGTGCAGCCCAAACAAAGTCACGTCTCACTCATTAAAGTAGAAGAAAACTTGGGACAGTATGATTTAAAACTTGGCCTCAAATGGCAGTGCATCCCCAGAAACATAGTTTCTGCAGGAGCAGCAACGATACGCCTAGCATTTCACCAGAAATGGACCAATCTGCTCGCTTAGGTGTCAGCCAGAGGCCTGATTGCCTATAGCTCTGAGCTGAATTATGCTCCTAACTTGGCTTTCACACAGCTGCAACTAAGCCTAAAATTGTACCTTTTGGCATCTGAAGCCCAGGATACAGAAGGTGCTGGAACAGACCTGAAAGGAGTACAAAAAAAGTTTGTTATGCCATACCAATACTGTGTCAGCTATGTAGAAAACTACTATCACCTCTTTGTGGAGGAACGTCTCAGAGTCCCCTGGGAATCCAGTGATCTCGTACAAGTAGAAAATGGCCCACAAGGAAACTTTGCTGTCGAAGAAAGCATTTTCTTTAAAAAGAGCTTCATTCACCCTTTGCAGTCTCCCCTCACCAGCTTGACGTTCACATTCCTCCTCCATGCTGTATTTTGCTCCCTCCCCCAGCATTTCCTCCACAGGTAATCCTTTCCTCCACTGACGGCCCATGCTGGTGTGCCACTTTTCCCACTGCGGATGCCGCAACCATTTCCACGGAGCTGGTCTCTGCCCCAGGAGTTTCTGCTGCGGGCCATCTCCATCCACCACTCCAGCTATGGCCATTCCTCTCAACAAACTCCTTCAGCTTTCTGTTGGTGTTCCCCACCACAGTCTACCTTTCTCTCCTTCTCTCAGATGCTTTCCTCCATAACAGATTACAAAGCTCCCCTGAGGATGATCTGACACCACTAAATCTCATTAACTTAAATTTATCTTCCTCTCTAGCCATGAGATGACGTTATGCTCTACACATGGAAACATGTGGCTGTGAGAGGTCACACGTTCTCACTCTGGCACCTGCAACACAGTCCTGCAGCAGAAAGCAACCCAAAGTTAGTGCAACTCCTGTCTGCACAGACTAGCAGGGTGGGATTCGGTCCCAGACTGTAGCTACTGAAGCGAGCTTGTCAACAGTATGAGCGTCCACCTGCAACGCAAGTGTCTAACCTCCCATCGGATTGCAGGTCTGGTCAATGTGAGAGCTGTTCAGTCACCCTGCAGTGGATACCTACTTTTGAAGAGCTGAACTGTTCTCCATCGACTGTATCAGCTGGGGGGCCTGATTCAGTGCCTAAGTATAGGCTACTAGGGCTGCTTGAAATGCCCTTGATTACCTAGGATATCTGTACAGGGCCAGAAGATATGATCCAGAACCTGCAGGGTGTGCTTTGGTGGCTGCAGGCCAGGAAGCATACCTAGAGCATCTCAGGTAGGACTAAATGCCTACATTTTGGGAACTGAATCAAGCCATTGCTCTCCCCAGGCCATAGTGGAAGTTTGAGAGTGGATGACTATTGCAGACACCTAACTCCAGATAGCTGAATGTTGCAGTGAGCTCCATCCCAGCTCGCTATACCCAGTCATCGGTAGTCACCTAAACTTTCTGCAGTGTTTCTGCTCTGAAACCCTTTCAGCAACTTTTCTCTTTATCTTATGCCACAATTGCTTTACACTAAACATATGGTTCTTTTTTTCCCTTGAATTAAGTCTATAAATAAGAATTTTGGTCCTTGTCTTCCAAGAGTTAGTATTTTTAGTTCTATTGAACAGATACTGTGTCAAGTATGTTTTCATTGTTGTCTTCCAACTGAGTTAAATGCACTGACAAATGGCAAAAGGCATATTTTATAAGTGAGAAAATGGAAAAAAACAAATGAAAATGTACAATGTTTTATTCTGCTGTCAGTGGAATAGAAAGTTTTATTTATGGCTGTATACAGTGGGAATATTAGCTCTAATCTGGAGAAGTACAAATTAAACTGCTGATTTAGATTATCATATTTTATGCATAGAGACTTTACAGGCTTTGATTTTTTTCTTTTTTTTTTCAACTCTATTTTAGAACTGAGAGGTTTATTCATGCTATTATACTAAATGAGGCATTTTGCTGCTAGGAGAGCTTAGCATTTTTTTCAACTCTGATAACTTTCCCTTATATTCTAGCATGAAGCACAATTAAGATAGAAATGTTCAGTAGTTTCATTATGCCCTTGTGTGAGGGCATCTTTTTTCCCACTTCCTTTTTTAGGATTCCCGAAGGATTTTATGAACTCTATACATTTGTCTAGCACACTCCATAGTGACATAAAAAGAATACATGGACCTCAACAGGAGCTTTGGTTTTATTTTTTTAATAATTCCACTCTCTGTTACTGCAAGTGGCAAGAGCATTGGAATTTCTTGGTTAATATTCAGGGCTTCTGGGCAAATTTTGCTCACATTAATTTGGGCAACTCCTTACTTTGGTGGGTAAGCAGGGGCATTGAGAACTGGGGGTTTCAAATCAGTCTATTCATTGTTTCAAGGCAAATTGTTTTTACACAAAACTGCTCACAGGCTTAGCTCCTGAATTACTGGGGGGGGGTTCTTTTTACGATGCCTTAAGTGGTCACCAAATTAAAAAACAAACAAACAAGCAAACAAAAGCCAGAATGAATCCTGAAATATCAGTCTCTGTGCATTAATGTGAGTGTCCTAATCATTAACTACACAGTTGTGATCCCTTTTAAGCTCAGCTCACTCATCCGTGTATACAGAAACACACAGGCACTGCTACACAAAGAGGAGTGGACAGTTCCTGTCACCTAGCCAGTTTTCTAGGCAGATAGTTAGGCTGTTATTTTATATAGTCACTATGATTGCAATGTAAGTGGCATTTGATGTGACAAATAAAAAACTGATTAATGTTTAAATCCTAAATATATGCTGATTGCTAAACTGCTCAGATTGGGTCATTCTGGCCAAAATCAGTACCATTCAGGGATTTCATCCAAAATTCCAGATAGCAGATTCAGCTCACTCTGAGAAAGATACCTGCCTTTACTCAGCCAAAGAGCTCTTCAGATTCTTCTGGGATCCATTCAGTTGCTCACACAAAGGCACCAACTGCTGTATGAAATGTGGCCAAGGATTTCTGACACATCTTCATGTGGCTTGCAGATATAAGAAGGGACCTCAGGAGATGCTCACACGATATTCAAAACCCACCTGGACAAGATCCTGTGCAACGTGCTCTAGGTGACCCTGCTTGAGCAGGGGGGTTGCACTAGGTAATCTCCAGAGGTCTCTTCCAACCTCAACCTTTCTGTGATTCTGTGATTCGTTGCAGGAAAACTGCAGACATTCATTCCTAAGAAAGTCATTTCATTAGTAATTTTTAAAATACCAGCATTTTGGTTTCGTCTGCCTTCCTATGGAAACACGGCTTACACACCTACAGTGCCCCACCTATGTGGGGCTCACTCCAGCTATTCCTCCTAATAACTTTTGAAAGTGCTTGCTGACTTCAGTCTGAAGACTCAAAGATTAGGTTAGTACAAGCATGTCAGATGAGGCCGCCTCACTGCTGTGCCGCCTGCCACAGGGGCTAAGGACATGGGAAACATCTCCGGCTGCTTTCCCAGGATTATCTCCTAGCACCCGGGGCCTAGAGGCTCAGATCTCCTTAGCCACAGCTTGTATCTTCGTGTCTCGTAGTCTGCTTTCCCATGGAAACACGGCACATACAGTCCTGCTCTGCTTGTGCGTTGCATCTTTAAAGCAGAAACATGAAGCCTCCTAAGTAACCTGATGGAGGGAAAGCTGCAATAGGAGTGGTTTATCTCGTACTCAATGTTATTAAGTTACTTTTCCCATTAGTTAATCCAACACATTTTGTCCTTTTTCTATTTCTTAGGCCTGAGTTACATTATGATAAATTGTCCCGAGCAAGGAGAAGCATGAAGCAGACTGTCTGGTATTTTCTAATTTTCTCCCTTGGCCAAGGAAACTGCTGCAGAGAGCAGCGAATAAAGCTCACTTCCCCAAGCCAATCTTTTAGGAAGGGAGCAGAGGAACTGAAATATCCCCAGTGGCAGGCTTCACGCGGCTCTGTAATTTATTGTGACAGCCACATGAAAACATCTCCTCGGCGATGTGACTGAGAAGAAAGCGTCTTGTCTGATTTTGTCTGTATCAACAGGCTAAAACATTTCACCTCCTCGTACTGAGCTCTGCAACTTTCACATCATCCCACGATGATCTGTAGCTAGACCTGGAGACTTCAACTTGCCTAGCTTATGGGTTTCAAAGGCCTTTTGGTTAGGCACACAGTGACCCACTGCATGGGCAGCACTTGGATTTGCAGCAAGTATCTTGTAAAGGCTGCCCTAAACTTTCTTTTAAGATTACCAGAATCAAGCAGTTTAGTGGCACCCCAAAATGTTCCTATTGATTAGCTGGGATCAAAGCTGGCTGCATTTATCACATGGACTCTTTGCTCCTACTATTTTTTGCTGTGATCTCCTCGTGATGATTGAATGTTATAATTTCTGTTACCCCTTTAGGTGGTCATTAAAAGCACTGCTAGAAAGCCCGTCCTGATGATTGCTTTCCTCTGTGCTGAGCAGAGTATTGGTCAGCGCACATGTGCACTTTTTGCCTTGCACTATGGAAGAAATGGAAAAAAAAAAAAAAACCCACTGAATTTCTTTCCTGTGCGCTGTTTTTATAAATGATATAAGCCTATATAAGTTTCAACATGCGAGGACAGTTTTTACAAGAAAATGTAACGTTCCCTATTCCATGTAGCATTTAAGAAAACAAAGTCAGATTTTTCCAATTCGAAAGCAACAAGCAAAACACAGGAAATGGGGGCCTGTTGTTATGTGTATTTTGACTTGAGTCATCAAGCACGGAAAAGCCCTAGGGCAAAAGCACTCACCCTATATGGAGAGAACGCAAACTGAAAACAAGATAGCATTTCCACAGGGACCTTTCCCTATCTCCACACTAATCCTTAAGTAGCCATGAAAATCTGTGGTGAGTGCCATGGCTTCCAAAAAAAGCACTTTGTGCAAGAATCACAAATGTGTATTATGGGGCTGTAAAAGCTCCCACTGGTCTTAAGAAGAGCACTAACTGGAGATGATAACCTCAATACCTGTAGATCTACTGTGCTGGGCACCATTTCCAGCTCTATCCATGTCACAAAGCTCAGGAAGAGGCACAGGAAGAGCTGCTTTCTCCATTGGGACAAGGAGCTTTATCAGACTATTGCAAAAGGGAACTAAGCCCACACAAGTCCAAGCTATCTGGGTTGGGCCAGTCATCCAGCGTGTCTAGAGTCCCTTCATGTTGTGCTCCTCCACTGTGCGCGGAGAGCATTACATTCTCTCAGAAGCATTTTCCTCTCTTTATTGACTGTTTAGAGGAACGAGGTTCCCTGTTTAACTGCTCAAATAAACCCCTGTTAAGGGCAATGAATAAATGCCTCGAGCTCACTCTCTGTTTAGGTTTTGAACCACTTTCTAAAACCTTCCGGGCTTCCTGTCTTAGATTTAGAGAAGCACTAGCAAAATCCTGCTTTTTCGCTCTGAAGTTATCTCACTTTACAGCTGAAGAAACAGCTCTAATTGTCATTTTACTACTCTGTCCTGTGTCTGCTGCCCTCCCACCTCCTGCTCCTAACTCCTTCCCAAGGATTTGGTGATACCTCCTCACATGGAGTTTACTGCTCGTGAAAGTGCCAAGCTGTCAGTCTGGGAAATTAGCCCTCTTTCTTGAGCTACCACTTTCAGTGCGAA